TTGATATCATTTTCATCAGAAAGATCTCACCAACATGTTAAAAAAAATTCCAGATGTAAAAAAGGAAAATTAAAGAAATTATATTTTTCTGTTATGATTTGTCGAGCCGTGAAATCTCGTAAAGGAAACCGACTGGTGTAGCGTTACACGCTTGATTGACTGCGAGCGAGATAACATGGGCGCAGCAATGACGCAGACCTAGGCGTAGGACCATCTATACTGTCACTTGTAGAATCCAAACTTACTGACTCTTGTAGAGAATTTACTGTACTTCCCAATTAATTTTTCCGAAACATTTTGTCGAAACGTTCAATCGGTAACGTAATTCATACAATGGTACGGTATCTTTTACTTTTAATCGCATTAACTCAAGACCTTTATCCTTGTAATTGCGCCAAAGAGGATTTCCCTCGTTCTCAGGGAACGCAATAAAAAAATCGTAACGTGATCAACAATGCAGAGAGAGAGAGAGAGAGAGAGAGGGATAAGTTTCCTGGGGAGGCAATAATGAAGGTTGGCTTTAATTGAATCCTTTCCCGGAAGTTCATAGAAGGCGTTAAACAAACTATCGGCATGCCGGCCACGTGGGAGCGCGCGTTCGATGTTGGATTCCCTATAAATCCTTTTCTTTCCTCACGCGGCTTGCCCTTCCATCTTCTCCACTCTCTCTCTCTTTCTCTCTCTCCCTTTTTTTTCTCTTCTCTCTTCGGAGCTTCCCTCTTCTTTTTTTTTACCCTCCACAGTATCCGCTGGAGCTGCGACTGCCAGCTTCCGGTCTGGAATTTCCGGCTTAGCTTAAGAGCTAATAGCACAGCTAGAGAAGCTACGCTTTTCCCTGCTACAACTGATCTATCTACCGGCCCTTTCCCTCAGATTCCTTGACAGATAATCGTTCTCCAAGCACAATTAATTCCCAACTTCGATCAGAGGCTCTCCAACGATCGGGTCAGATAGAAAGAATCACTCGAGTATGATGGGTTAATCGATAACGGGATTGTGTTTCTAGAGGGAGGAAGTATTTTGGAAATCTGATTGTGACAAACTCGATGTTGATTTCGCAGAGTGTTCACTTATCGTAAGAAGCTTCGAATCACTGAGCGAATTCAACGAATGCGCGAATCTTTTGAAAACAATTCAGAATTCTAAGTTAACTTGGAGAATTTTCTTGTGCCAAAGTTTCTTCAATTAGAAGATTAATTATCCTTAAAAAAATTCCATGCGTTAGGTGTGAAAAAATGTTCGCTGCTTTTCTCGAAAAAATTCAATATTTATTAAGAAGAAAATTTGAAATATTCTCCTTTGCTTTCAACGACTTTTCCCCGACTTTCAGCCAGCATCGAGGTTCCATTGCGGCAAAAATGTAATTTCGATGCTTCAAAGACATCGATCAATTTTCACGACAATATCGCGATGATATAAAGGAGCCAATGTTCCCGGTCCAAGCTTAGGACAGCTTCTTTAACAACTCAAGCAACGCAGATCTGAGTGTTATCGCGCGACCTTGTTCGCCAAACGAGAATTTCACTTCCATTGACAATTATGAACCGCCGACTGACCCGCGTGACATCTATAACGTGTTAATAATCAGCAGAATCAGTTTCCAATCCAATTAAATACATACATCGTGTACACCCTAAAATCGACTAGCTGTCTCGCGTTTCAATATTATTAAAGTCGTCGAAATCACGGGTCACAAAGGGGAACAAGAAACAATCATATCGAAAGATAACAGGCAAGGTGAGGGTGAGTCAAAAGTGGATGGAGGCCAAGGTTTAGTTGAATATTCCGATGCAACGGTAAGATCAATAAATAGACGCAATTCCTAGGAAGCTATCCTGTGGGAGGACCGTTCTATCCAATCCCTCCTATCCATTACCAATTCCTATTCAAAACGGAGCGGCGTCGATGAGGCTCTCCCATCCGATGACGAAGCCCGAATGCACACGTGGCCGCTGTGTATCTGTCATTAGTAAATGCTAATGTCATTGTCACGTCCGACGTTGATCACGTCGACGGCTAACCACGTCTTCTGCTGATTCTAAAATCGTACTCAAACATGTATGTATATCCAGTAATATGATCACGATCGCCGACTGAATGGATTAATGGTAATGTGTATCAGGTTGATGCAAATGAAATGACGTTTTTTTTTTTAAGAATTGAAATTTGGTATTTTTATTCGATCGTTGATTTGTATATACGGTGGTCGAGAAGTAGGAATTTTGTAGAGTAGACATGTATTGAATGTTAACAGGAAAATTGGAAATTTTTATTTTTGGCTATTTTTAGATTAGATAGTGTTCCACTAAGTAAAAGAAAATAAAGAAATTACAGATGAGAAATAAAATTGAATTTTATTTTATTTTCTGAAGAATCTTCATTTTCAAAGATGACCAGTTGCAAGAGTAATTATTGAAAAGGGTCCAAGGTAAATAATATGAAAATTTGCCACGTTTTTCCCCAAGGGGAAGAAAATTTTTTAACAAGCAAATTATTTCGTAATGAAGACACTGTAAAAGCAGCATTCGAAGAACTTTTTAATTCAAGAACTGAGGATTTTTACACATTTGTAATGACAAAACTAGTTAATCATTGGGAAAAGTGTATGAAATTTTGATTTCTTAAGAAAGCAAAATGTGTCTAGATCTTCATTTCGAAAAATGACGTTCCTTATACGCCAATCTGATATTGTATAATTAAGAAAAAATGACAGAATGCCCTTTGTACATAGACGTTTATTCTAACTGAAATTTACAGTGATATCTGTTAGCGCCACATAAAAAGTGTACATAAAAAAGAATACAATTTTAATCTGCGAAGGATTTCTCTGGAAAAGGAGAAATATCCTTTCTACTTTCGTTTCTCGATTTAACGTAAATAAAAATTTGAAGAAATTCCTCTTCCATTTCCCCCGTAAAATTTCAAAAATCCCTTCTCTTCTATCGAAAAATTATGCTGCAAAGACCGCTGAATTTCAAAGATTGAATCTTGTTCCATCATCGTTGAAATCTTCCTCAAAACAACGCACATCCACCATTTTCTGTTCCCTTACACTCCTCTTCCTCGTTCACAACGAATTATAAAGCTTCAACACCCTCTTCCTCAATAATTTTCAACATCTCCAAATGCAAAATTTTTCTCCTCTGCAAGGACCAAAAAATTCCTCCACTTCTTCAAACACAAAAGAAAAAGAAAAGCAAAACAAACACGACGAAGAAGAAAAAAATGTGGCCGAATAATTTCGGGACAAACATTTCCCCGAGGTATCGTCCTTCGCCCAATCAGGCCCGGTTCCCTAATCGATCTTGAAGCATCCAGCGGCCGTTTGAAAACGGCCGTGTTCTCCGCGCAGCGGGTAGTTTCTTCGAGAGTCATTCGTTCTGTAAACACGCCAGGACGAGGACAAATAGCATTTGCAAGGAGCCTCGATCTTCCTGGAGGATCTCCGATTCGGCTGATTCCTTTCTCTGTTGGTGATTACGGGTCCGATAGGGTTCTCTACCGCTTGCCGGACGCCTCATTCACCTCGTCTGTTCCCGTGGATCTCTCCACAGTGGCTGGTGTGTCTGACTGCTTCGCCACAAAGTAATCCAACGGATTAAGATACTCGATTTCTGGCCTCCTCGACGCGATACTCAACTGTGTCTCGCTCTCTCTCACAAAATCGAACATACTTGCCGCCGCGTTCATGCTGGCGCGAGAGTCTGACAAATTCAACTGCATGTAATTCAACACAACATCGCCAGGCGGATATTTCTCGCCGTAGTAATTCTTCAAACATGTCTCGAAAGTTTTGTATCTGTAGGAGTTGTAATTCCACGTGATATCCAGAACCGGTAGCTCTCGATCGGTTTTCACAACGACGGAGGAATGTTTCGCGGTGGCGAGACGCTGAGGTACCGTTGGATCCGTCTTTTCTACGCTCGGGGAATCCTCGTTCGTTGTGGATAAGCTGTTCGCCAACACTGGCGAAGAGGAGACGGTTCTCGAGGTGGTCAACGACATCTCGGAATCGGAGCCAGCGTTGAATACCGTCGGTTCTTTGGGATAGTGTTGCAGAATGCTTGGGGAGGAGGTTTTGTGAGAGTCGTCTGGGATTGTGGTTGCATAGTAATGGAAAATTGTAAATAGCTTCGCTGGGTGGACCTGCAGGAGGCGAAGATTATTGTGATTCGAGGGTATTTTGCTGTATGTAATACGAGGAAAGATGGGATAGGAGAGAAATATATTTTAACCCTTTGCACTCGAAGATCTTTTCACTATAGCCTATTACCTTCAAAATTGATATTTAGTATTTGCTAAAAAATGGATGAAATTTTTTAGAACACAGAAATAAATCGTACCATATGCATATTGACAAATATATTTTAATTATTTGCCAAACAGTAAGAAATAATGTCGCTTCTCAGTCGCCATTGGAGTGCAAAGGGTCAATATTAATAGGACTGTGAATGAGTAACGGCGAAGTGGTACACTTTCGAGAATGTAACTGAACTTGGTAATTTCGAGACTTGTGTCAACCATTTTAACGTTTGCCAGTGGGAAAGATGTGTGTTAATTCTTACAAATGTTTCGTTAACCCTAGAACACTAATATGAGGAATACAGTAAATTTCTTCTTCATACGTATACACACTTCTTTTTATATTTTCCCTTTACAAATATCCTTAGGTTCGACAAACGTGTACTTACTAATTTGTGTCGAACTTGAAGCAAACAATTTTTACAATTAATGTAAATAAAATTAGTAAAAAAAGGACTGCGTTAATAGAATACAATGCGATCCGTGATAAAGTTAATATCAGAAAGAAATTAACATTGATATCCCAGACGAATTTAGCTAATACCTTCGCGCTAATTTTCAGACTCAACGAAAAGTCGGACAATCACACAGAAATACGAATTATTAATTCACAATAATAACGATTTACGAAATGGTTAAATAGTTCACTGAAAATGATCACGTAATAACCTCTAAACAAGAACTTGCGTTAGAAGTGACAGTTTTAGAAGAGGAGTAAAGAAATCTGTTTTTACGCACAATTAGCATCTGAAGTTGAAGAACGAGGGGAAACATGAGGAGGAGAGTGAACAAAACTGTACAGATGCTCTCCATAACGAAACTGACAAATCTTCTTCTCTATGAAAAGGGCAGAATCTCCACCGGATCTTCGGCCCGGGACGTCTTCATCGTTTCGTGGCACTCATCGTCGATGGAATGCATCGTAGGCTGCCTGTCTTTTCTCGATTATTTCAAAATTCCACGAACATCGGGTGCCATTGGACACCCTGATTTGCAACGGATCGATTTTCACGACGCGCAAAAATTTCCGTCATTTGTTTCTGAAAATTCGTTTGGTGCGTGTGGGCGAGAAACGAGACGCGAAAATTTGGTAACGTTGCAACGGCGAATTTTGTTTCACCACGAGTAGAGAAAAGGAGGGAGTTGATAATGAAATGGACGTTTCGATGGAATGAAAAGATCGTCGAAAAGTCGCAGCGCGGAGAAACGTGGAAGGGAAAGGGTAACATAGACGGGAAATTTCAATGAAAATTCTGAATGAATAGCGGCGATGTTCTGGTAATACTATTGAAAAACGGTGATCACGCAGGTCTCGCGGAACACGGTGAAAAATTTCATCACATTTCCATACACAAGGGGAGAAAACAATTTTTTTTTTTTGTCGCACACTACTCGTACACTATGCTAATCTGCTACGTTTTAATATCGCTTTGAAGGATAAAACGCTGAAAAAACGCTCACAGCCGCGTGCTTTATACCTGAACGAAAAAAAAAGAAAAAATATACGTCAAGTATCGTTCGAAGCGTTTCACAATGGCATACAAAGGTATATTTTTGGGATCGAATTCATTCCGGACACTTTCCTCTGCATACGCGAATGAACTGTTAAAATGATTAATTCATACGACTCTTGGCGAATATTTGCAATACCTAAAGTAGCATTTCTGACGAAAATTTCAATTGTTGACATTTACTTTTTTTATGAGTCGACTCGTTTGTAATTCTATCGTTAATATTAGGTTGATCGGAGAATTCTCTCATTTTTTTTCTTTTTCAGATGAAAATAAACGAAGCTTGTGTTCAGAGAAGCTTCTGTTAATTAATCCGTAGTGTAATGTTTATTATTGTTACTTGCAACTGTCGTCGATCTATCCAGCAATTTATTTATTCCCTCCATGTACAATTTCTCATTTTTCCTGTTGAAACATTTTTCCAGTTGTGTTCACAGAATAGTTTGCAACTTAACCTAACTTAATTAATGTCATTATAAATGTGAATGTATGAAAAATGAGAATTTGTATACGTTAAATTCATTTATTCTAAATACGTATCTAAAATTCCCTTACACCCATCATCGAAAATCACTAAAAAAAAGCATTTGAAATACCTCGTTTTTACTAACTTCCTGCTTCTTCAATTATCGAAAATAATTAAGAAAGACCATTTGAAATATCTCGCTTTTACTAACTTTCCCTTACCCCCATCATTGAAAATCATTTAAAAAAATGACATTTAGAATACCTCGTTTTTACTAACTTCCTGTTTCATCAATTATTGAAAATAACTAAAAAAAACCATCTGCTGAGAAGTGTGATTACTCATGGTGCCATCTATCGGTGGTACCAGCGAGACATCGACGATTCGCCACACGTGTATTTTGTGTATCATTAAAATGAAGATCTAGGGAAAACCTCAACACCATCTGAAATACCTCGTTTTTACTAACTTCCTCTTGCTTCAATCATCGAAAATCATTTAAAATACCTCGTTCTTACTAACTTTCTATTGCATCGAAAATCACTGAAAAAAATCATTTGAAGTACCTCGCTCTTACTAACTTCCTCTTACTCCAATCATCGAAAATCATAAAAAAAAAGGAACACTCGAAATAAACTCCGTCTGACCGACGTTCGTTCGAAACCACCTTATTCGTATTTCACTTGGAATCCTTCATCCCCGTTTAACAAATCTACGAGCAAGAGGACTTTCAACCTTTATTCCCCGTACAACGTTTCGCGCCCCCCCCCCCCCCTATCCTGGTACACGTGCATACTCACCGTATGCATAATAAATACATACAAGCGTTAAGCGTCAATCAGAGTGGAGTAATTTCAGGCGACGGGCCATAGGAAACGAGATCTCTCAGTGGCGCGTCAACCTCGGAGCCCGGCTATAATAGGATGCAATTTAGAAACGGTCGAAACAGACAATACCGCGTCCTTCGGAGCGTAAATCATCGCAGCAGCGGCGGCGGGGAATGCAAACTGCACGGGTAAAATGGAGGGTGGAAGTGCATATCTTAATTACAATATTCCCACGGGCTGAACACAGGACTCTTGCCCGGTTCGCAGACCAACCCCTTAGCCTTTCCAGCCAGCCTGTAGGAATTTAATTAATTTGCCAGTGGCAAGCAGGCTTGCTCCTTGTCGCCACTCTGAAATATTGTATCCTTCCCACCCTTTAAAACCCAACGCCACCCCCTCGAGTACCACCGCCGACGCCACCACACCACCGCCGCGCCGCCACCTACCGGATAAAGAGAGAGTATCGTCTTTGCTCTCCCTTCTTGCGTGCTACTGCCATGCCGCCTGCGCTGGCTCGTGTTCTTGCAACGCTATGTGAGCACACGCCTTAATTGTTCGGATATTATTGAATTTCACCGGGGGGTATCGACACGAGTGCGTCCACCGTGGCGTTGAGAGCGTGATACGAAACCTTACACCAGCTCCTGTATCCAGCCACTCGCTGTACCTGATCTTTAATGGTATATATGTATACGGTGCTCTTTCTTCGCTAATCTTTCTCAGAATTTGCTTGGATGAACTTTCGACGGATTTTTGGAATTCGATCGTTCTGTAAATGGCTCCTAGAAGTAGGCAGAAGTTTGAGAATTTTTTTTCGTAGGTAACTGCTAAGAATTCGATCGTTTTATAAAACGATTCAAGGGGATATATTTTGATTTTTCAAGAGTAAGAAAAGATCGACCGCATTTTCTCCAAGTATAATATCTTGGAAATGTGTTGCTGAAATTGTACGCGTGAAATGAACGAAATGAGAAAATTCGAATAATTTACCGATGCGCCATTGGAAACGCTAAGTGTAGCTAAACTTTAAACGCGTTTTCCTCGAAGCTGTGTCTGAATCAACTAATCTCTCCGAAATTTCTAAAATAAATATCCTTTTATCTATCTAACAATTCATTTTTCTACAATCATTAAGTCCTCCCAAGATTAATACTGAAACTTATAATTCGTCGAGGTATCTGTTTCAGAAGAGTAGACGTACGAATTCTGTCGACTCTAGAGTCTAAGGTAAGGAAGACTGATTTTTTCCCTTAAAAATGCAGCTGTTTACTTAGACGCGAGATAAGGGGGAAATTAAGTAGAGAAC